CCCCAAAACCCCAAAACCCCAAAACCCCAAGTTGCTGAATATAGCCATCAATATTAGCTATATAAAATTTTTAGCAAATCCAAATATTACGCATAAATTTAAACTATTTATCATTAATAATCATAAAATCCCAAATTCAATTCTATCAAATTCATTCTAAATGGAAGATCTAAATAAAGATAAATCAGCTCACAAAAACACTGTTTCTAAAGATATGGTAATGAAAAAATATGGTGAAGCTCCTCATGAAAACAGAGAAGAAGTTTAGGATTTCGTGAATCTCAGAATGAACAAGGTCTCATCCCTCAAGTTGAGATTAAGACAAGAGACACATGAGAAGTTCCTAAGACCCTCAGTTATGCTTACTGGTGTCGATCAGTGCGAACATATGAAGTTTATTGTTAAATTGGCTAATGCAAAGAAGGGTATAGAACTAGGAGTTTTCACTGGCTACTCTGCCTTATCGTTTGCTGAAGCCTTACCAGAAGATGGGCTACTAATTGCGATTGATGTTAGTAAAGAATGGACTGATATTGGAATGAAATACTGGAAAGAAGCTGGTGTTGACCATAAGATTTAACTTAGACTCGAAGGAGGTATCATAGTTTTAGATGAGTTACTTGCTGATGAAAACAATAAAAATACCTTTGATTTCGCTTTTATTGATGCTGACAAAAACAACTATCCCAACTACTATGACAGAATTATATAATTATTGAGGTCAGGAGGTTTCTTGATGATTGATAACACCATTTGGAATGGAAAAATTGCTGATGAGGAACAAAGAACTAATGATTAGGAGACTGCACATATTTGGCAAATTGTGGATTTGGCCATGAATGATGAAAGAGTTGAAGTCCATACTATTTACCTCTCTGATGGGTTGACAATAGTAAAGAAGAAATGAATATTTGAGCATATCTTAAATTATTCTAAGTAAATTACGAGGAAAATGTCTTTTCACATTTAATAATGACATAAAATTTCAAGATTCTTTTAGAAAATAGCATTAATCTGTGGAATCATGGGGTTTTGGGGTTTTGGGGTTTTGGGG